GGGGTCTTGATGGGCTCGGCAGAGCTTCCACAGGCAGGGACAGTCTACCTTTGGCCCGCCCAAAGGGCAAACAGCAAGGAGGGAAAGGGGCAGGCGAGAGATGTCACCGATGTGCCCCCGCTTGGGAGCATCCCGAAATGCCCCCACCCTTTTAGGCATTTGGAAGTATGTTTGAGACAACGTCAGATCTCCATACATTCTGGATTAAAGTAAGGGCGGGATATCCGGAGATTGCCACAAAAGCACGGAAAAAGCCTGCTTCCATTTCCAACTTCCTCTCTGCGAAGCAGCATTTTCTACTACGACAGCAACCAAAAACAAGATTACGCACCAGCTTGGACATTAAAAAAACCACATTTCGGGTGTCCCCGTCTCCCATCCCCCAGATGGGACTGTCTAGTTGCTGCAGGAAATCAAGCACAGGGCTCCCACTGATTCTGCCTTATGGCGAATTGCATTACTATTTCATTATATATTACAGTGTAATGATAGGTAATGAGCTCTATTCAAAGCTATCTTCCAACATCCAACTGCATAACAAGTACCCCCCCCCTCCTTGGGAGAAGGGTCTTCAACTAAACCAGTCCCTGGTGTCAAAAAGGTTGAGGACCACTGTTTTAGACTATAGTGCCTATTAACCCCTGTCTTAGTGGCCATTGGCCAGGGATAATGGGAGTTGTAATCCCGACAGCCCAGAACGCTGGGTTTGGAAAGCCTGCCTCAATGGACGTTAGTGTTCGGGAGCACCCGTTCGATTGCATTTGGTGTTGCTTTCTCTCCGCAGTGGCCAGACATCACTTGGATGCACAACATGTGGCTCTTTGTTATTGTTTTTTTTTCCAGTGGACACCTGTGATGAGTTCACTTTCCATAGAAAACAGAACTCATCTCATGGGCTGACCCATGTCCCCCTGACCAATGTATTAATTGCACGTTCCACTTAGACAAATGAGAACAACATAATTAGCTCCCCCCCCTTTTTTTTTAAAACTGTCCTGCTGGTGTTGAATAGCTGACTTTGTAAGCAAGTGACTCATTTAGAAATCATGAATGAATAGGATTCCAGTTTACCATCCTCATGTGTCTGAGAAAGTAAATAAACAGCTCTGAACATTTCCCTTGTTTGTGGAAGGAGATGTTGGAATTACCAGGAGGAACAAAAGCTCATTCTTTCCAAAGCCAGAAGTGCTGATGATGAATTGATGCACTTGGAGGGGGGCTTGTTCTGTGGCACTTTCTGAATACAGCCAGAGAATCTCCCCCCTCCCCGACTCATTAGATGAACCACTGTTCCTGTAATTGACTATAAAAAAGAATTAGGGAAAGCTTTGCTGACTAACATTTTCTCTAATTTTCCAGAGCACTGGGTGGGTGGGGGCCGCGCCCTGTGCATGCGGGGATCTGGCCGTGACCGAAAGCAAATGGCCCATGACACTGACTCGGTCGTGTGGCCCCGATGCCATGCTGCACGGTGTAGAGGGATCATTTCTGCTGACCATGGAGCAGGCACATACAGAGGCAGAGTACTTCTGAATATCAGTCCCGGGAGGATAAGCAGAGTGGAGGTTGCGGCTGCCTTTCCCCTTCCAAATTTGTCTGCTTCCTGGAAATACCGGGCAAGGATGCCAGACCAAAAGGATGCTTGGATTCTGTTCCTAAAGTCATTTCGCTCTTCCTTGTAATAAAGATTACCTGCATTGTAGTCTC